CCCTTTTACTTCTTCCCTTTATATTCTACCAAGCTTCCCTTTATCTTTCTCTCATCCTACAACCTCAGGCTCTTTCTGGCCCAAGGCAACCCCTGCACTTTCTCGCTTCTCTTATACCCAACCTCTGTGCTTAGAATTTTAATGGACCGGCTTAGAAATTGTTGGCAGAATTAGATTTTACAACAAGATTAGGCGCAATACTATGAGGGTACGGGCTTCTGTCAACTCTAAATCTAAAATTACTAAATCCATGTTTTAGATGTATACTTTATAATTGATTTAATTCTTTTTCTTTTTATCATTGTCTCCAAGTCAAATGCTCGTAATAGAAATGCTTCAATGAAATTGTTTGCATAAAGTGACCATTCTAAATATTTACATTTTGATTAGTTCAACAAATACAAGAACAATATTGAACCAACACTAATGACTCTGGTGACCATCGGAAAAAACGACTGTCAATATCAAATATTCTTGGAAATTAAATCAATCTGAAATCACATTGCAAATCCAAGATTTTAATACACTATGAAATGTGTAAAAAGTGTCTACAAATCATGTATAATTTGTTTATAGACATTTTACATTGAACATGCTTTATATATGTTATTTTAACACGTTTGTAAAATCTTGGGATTTATAGTGCAGTTATGTTAAAGATCAAATTTATATTCTAATTTTCAAAACATAATAATTGATAATAAATAATACTGTCTTAGTAAGGATTATTAACTATTTTTTTCTCTATAGTTAGCTATAGTTAACTAAAAGAACTTTTCTTTATTGTAACTCCATTAAAATGTAAATATTTTTTTCATGTTTCATTTGTGGAAATTAATTTATTAGATCTATTAAATTTAAACTATAATTTATGGAGAAAAAAAATAGACTTGATAAAATCGCTTATCAAGACGCTTTGAGGAATGAGGGTACAGTTATTAGAAAATTGCGAGAGATTGTAAGAGAATATTCGATAACGTCTAAGGGTCTAGAGATGATAGAAGAGCCGCAAGGGAAGCCGCAGATACGAGTTTCGAATTAATAATTGAATAATTGAATTAAAATCATCATCGTCATGATTACCACTGCCATTAATAAAATACATGTTTTTTATCTCTTAAGATTTATCGTAAAGAATAAGGGGTGGCTTTTATATGTAGAATAAGAGGAAAATACAAGATTTCTAGCCATTCAGCACCCTTCGAGCAAGATGCTTTAAATAAATGAAACTTCTCGTGCAAGAACAGGCGGCACTGGCATATAAATTCTCTCGCTTCGTAATTTCGAACTCAAACACCACCAGGGCACTCGTACACCCTCTCTTGCAACTCCATTCCTCGCTTTCTACTAAAACCCACCCTCATAAGGCACTTGTTCTCCTTCAGTTCCCAAGGTCGTCCTTCGACTTTCCTTTAGGAACCTGGGGACTGTGATTTTGGATTGCCAACTGCCAGCACAAAGTGACGACAATAATTATTAGCTTAATTGTGATTGCAGGGGTGAGATCTTCTTGTGGCGATTATCGGTGTTTCCCTTCTTCATCCCTGAGACTTTAGGGAATTGTTTTAGTACTGGAAAATGAATTTTCTGCTATTCTATCTTGCTGTCGTTTAGTTTGAGAGAGAAAAGGTCTGAACTTGAAGAAAAAATTATTTTAAAAATTTTCTAAAACTGTTTTAAATTAAGAAGAAATAAGATAAAGCCTCTAACCTTCAATAATGTTGAAAACATGATGCTTTTTTGCATTAAATAATTACACAAATAGTAATTTTTATTTCAATTACAAGTTCATAATTATTATTTAGGTCATTACATTCTTTGTGAATTATTATAGAAAGAATCTCGTTTTCTTTTCGAAAAATATTTCTACCACTTTTTCTTTCATTTTAGATATATATGTATAATGTATATAAAATAAAATAAAACGGATTTAGCAATCATGATTAAGAAGTATACGTTAATAGGATTAAACGTATGAGCTTATGATAGTAAATGTGAATATATAATAATAAATGAAAAGGAAAAGTTTGAAAGCAAAAATAATAAATAAGTTTGAGAGTAAAGTTAGCAAAGTTTCAATTGCTTTGCATAAAAGACAAGTGTGCCTGCTGATCCGTAGTCTAGTTCAAACGACTCGTCGTCATTTCTAGAGAAGAAAGTCTGAGGTAGGCAAGCTCGGTGCGGGGAGTTAAGAGAGCTAGAGTTTATACGTAGGACAAGGATGAGGATGAAGAGTACGCGGCCGTAGTTGGTGTGGGTTGGTTGTGCTTTGTCTGCAACTTCAGGCGGGTGTTTCGCGATTATAATTTAACGACGCCAGCAACGAAGCGAAGTTGGCCTCGGAAATCAATGCGGAGACAAAAGCTGGCGACGAGTACCGGGCACGAAGAGGTATAGAGAATATACAAGGGGGTTGAGGAGGGGGGGAGTGAGGGTGTTAGAAGGTTGAAAAGGGGGAGAGTTTTAGAGCGAGTTAGACACATAAGTGAGGGTGAGTGTAGTCCTCGTGTCTGTTTTGAGCTATGAGAATATATAAGGGAGAGTCTCAAGCTCTCTGAAAAGGAGATGAGACCAAAAGCAAGAGGGATGGAGAGACGGTGAGATATGGAAGAGGGTGTCGTAAGTATCCGCGACCGAGGGCTTTCAACTTTGAATTCCGTACCGTCGTATTTTCCTACTGGATAATGCTCACTGAAAATTTTCCCTGAGATGTAGATACAACTCATTCCACATCCTCTCGCTGAATTTCATTCCCATTCTTGGATACCAAGGAGACCCTTTTGACTATTCTGTTAGCCCTGATTTCAGCTCTTAAATTTTCGTGTCCTCTGAAACCCTCTAGTCTTAAATGTAATAAAGTTACTGTGTTGTTTCAAATTGTAGCGTATGGAAGAATTAAGATTTTTTAAATTATTTTTAACTTTAGAGTAAGTTAAATGATATAGACTTAGAAAATTATTTTTATTTTTCTAAATAAAGTAAACTAACAAAATAAAACATTGTATCCAATGAAAAACACAACTCAATCATTGAATGCATTTTGGGTTCAGTTTGAATGTCAGAATAACTTTTGAGTATGAACGTCTGATTATAAAATTTTCTTCACACAGAATTGATAGAAAATTTCACTTTATTTATCGGTGTTAATTTAATCATAATGACTAGTGACATCGATTTATGAACAATCTAGAGTGATTAAATATAAATATAAGCTGATTAAATCAATTTAGAACATGCCTTCAATCAATTAAATCGATTGAAAAGTTAACAATTTTTTTCAATTTATATTTTATTTGTTATTTTGATTCAACTGAATCGAGGTTATAGAGCATAAAAATTTCAATAAAAGCGAATGAATATAATCGGATAAAAAAACAGAGGGAAAAAATTGAGTAGGAATAATTGGACGTGAGGAATGAGGGTGAATATTTCCGGAAAGTGATATTGGAAATGGTCTCATTCTGTGTAGGGGATAAAAAGTGATAAAAAAAGGAAAAAATAGCAGGATGACCGTGGCAATCCTCAACCCACGAGATTCCCTAGTTGGAGATACTCTGTCGCCCTCCAGGGTAACTCTAATCGAGAGAAAGAGGGAAAGAGGTGAAACGAGGGTGGGCATTTTGTGGCTGGGTATTAAGAAATCTCTGTGGACGTTTGGCGGTCAGCCAGCATTCCAGGAGAATTAAAATACCGTAGTATAAATGTGTAAGGTGTCCCAAATTTTTTAAAAGCTAAATCATACTTTTAAACTATTTTATTGAATTAATTTAAACTTTTAAAGACATTCAATTTTTATGATCATTTTGCATTTAATATTTAAAGTAAAATTGTACAAATGTTCAAAGTACAATAAATTTCATTTTTTATTAAAAAGTTTTATCTATTGAAAATATTTGAGTATAATTTTAGTTGAAATGAAGTAATTGAAGTTAATAAATATTGACCTCATCTAATGGAATATAAATAAGTAATTTTAATTAAAATCATTTTTACAATTTATATTACTGGCATCTTAATGAAAAATTACAGTGAAGAAACATCTCTTGCGGTGATTAACGCTCGAATGAGTTAGAATTTGAAGCTCGCAATGTTGTTAGAAATGAAGATGATGTTGAGATGATGTAAGAGGAATAACCGTACCTTGAAGAAGTCCCGGCGACCTGGGCGAGGTTTCTCAACATAACATTGCGCGTCGTGTACAAAGTCATAGCTTGCGGGCCTTTCATTTGTAAACGAAATTACAGAATAAGACTTTACATGTGACACAGAGTAAATGGAAATGAGATATAGCGAAGAGTAAGAGGAAGTAGAAATGATGCGAAATGAACTCAAAATTCATCAATTCGTTCCTCCAGCATTTCATTTCTAACAAATATTTTTTTTTTGTAGTTTGGATTAATTAAATTTTTTTCTTTATTTTATAAAATATTTAAAAAAAATTATTTTTCAAGTATTTTAATTTTTTTCTTTTGAAATTTTAAATAAAGATAAACAATTTCTACCACCTAGTGTTTTTCGTCCTTTTCTTTACTCATTGAGGGGGTGTCTAGTAAGACGGGGGTGGCAGTATGGCCGCTTACCCGACTCCGCCCTCGAACGACTCTCGAGAGGGAGAAAACTTGGGAAAACTAATCCTTATACATACTAATATATTCACTATAATATTCATTTTTTATTTAAAAAAATAAAACTTTGTCGTTTATATTTTTTTCAAAATTTTCAAATAAAACGTAACTATTAATTTTATTTCTCTATAGTCATTAAAGTTTTTAGATATAAAAGAGTTGATGGAAATTTTTTACATACCTGAGAAATAAGAAAAAAAAGTGTTTCGGTTGTAGTCACATGTTGATTAATTATTGTGGTAAAAATTTGAAAAACTGTTTCTTTTTAGTGAGTCTGATTTATGTGTTGAATTTAGACATTTTTTGATTTAAGATTTGGAGACGAGGACTGATCCAAACGAGCCGAAAGAAAATCACGAACTAAATGCTTATGATGAAGTTGAACTGGTCAGTAGTCAGTCTAGTGGTGGACATAAAAAAAAATTCAAACTACTCTGTACCCCCTCCAAGTAATACCCCAGTAGTGACCGGTGGGCCTACTTCCACTTTTGAATGTGGGAAAGGAAACCAGTTCGCGATATAACAGGAAGAAAGTGAGTTTTAGTAAAAAGAAGATGGGTAAGTTATAGAATGTGGTTTCCATTCAATAATCAGGATTTCGAGTGAACACTACTGTCCCTTTGCTTGGATTGGATAAATAAATAACGGAAAAAAGTAACTCGTAACAATTCTCATCATCTCCAAAACATTTCTCTGAACACTTAAAAACAAAATAGTAAGAACAACCATTTTTGAAAATTTTTTTTAACTTTTTTTTAAATAGTATCTTACATCAATAATTTTTTTTAAACATTAATAAGTATATCTTTTTAGCCAGAAGATGGAAATTATCTGTAGAATAGAACGCGGTAAAAAATTGCTAAGCAAAAATGGCAATAATAGTTTGAGCAAACCCAAAACAAATCATAAACATCAGTCAGGATTCCTAGAATGACAATTAAATTTTTTTAACTTACTCGATAAATTAAAAGTATTTCATTCCAACATATTTATAAGACAGCAAAACTTCTTATTGGTTTTAAACAAACTGATTATAATTAATTCTTCAACAATAAAAAATTACAAACGTTTCTTAAAATTATTGAAAACATTATTCAAGTTTTTATTGCAACTCATATTTGTTTCTGACTGATTCCGCATGTTGCCATAGTCATTTTTATAAGCAAATGTATTTTAACTATAAAAATTGAAAAAATCGAAATGAGCAAAAATCAAGTCAGAAAAAATGGACTTTAAAGAATACAGTAATCAACCCTGATCGAAATTATTTACTGTTATATACAAAGGATGTATCTCATCTGGGACGCGTGAAGAAGTGAAAGTACATAATGATCCTCTTCCTCAATCTGTGAGTGAAAAAAAAATTGAACCAAGTGTGAGGAAATATTTGAGCTCGGTAAAATTTTATTTGTAACTGTAACCAGTTTACAATGTAGCAGTTGAAGGGAACCGGACTGTTACGCCCGCGTTGTAACGTCCAGTTAGACCAGTTTTCGAAGTTTTCGGGGACAGGACAATGAGTCGAAATCAGGACATGAAGAGGGAGGGAGAGAGGAAATTGGGTAGGAAGACGTCTGTTCGCGGCAGATGCAATCGCGAACCATAAAGAACTACAGAAACTTGATCGGGTTTTAATTTATTTTTGCATTCATATGTCGAGAAAAGAAAAGAATTTATATATTTATCCTGCAATAGATACCTTCTGCCTTTGATATTTTATATTCTTCTTCAAATAAATGTCTTTTTAAAAATATTCTGACCCAACTTCAGTGAGAATCGTTTATTATTCTCAGACATTACAATTACCAATTTCCAAAATATATTTTTTTACATTAAAAAATTGCATTATTTTACAAAAAAGCTTTTTTAAAAAATAATAGCAGAATATACCATCACATAACTCTCTCTTTGATGTCCTGTAGAGTCTACTAACACTTACCTTCATAACAATGTCTCGCGTGCGGTCAGTTGACCATTAATAAGCAATTATATGACGCCTCATTAGATCAATGAAAGCATAAGATTTCATTGAACAAAAGATTGCATTCACATTCTTCTCTCTTTATAGAATTAAAAATCGTGCTTGGGGCATCATATATATCCCTTTCAGTATTCTTCACAGTCGCAAAATCACTTCTAAAGCTAACTTGGCACCCCTTAGAGACTCTTCAACCCCCAAATACTGACCAGTGGTCAGCTTAGAGTATTCAGTTCTTTCAAAAATTCACAGGCAGCCTATTTAACACACAAATGACATTTTTTTTCTTTTGTACTCTATCGTAGTTGATTCAATGAACCGCAAAGAAAAATATCATTCAGTATGACGAATATTTGTTTAGTAAAATTTTTTTTTTCTATTCACCATAACTGTAAATCGAAAATGATAATTAATTAATGTTTGAAAATTTTATATGTCTCTGAAGTTCATTTAAGGATTAGATGTGTGGTGAGAATTTACCGAGGTGTAGATTTATTAATTAGTAGATGCAAAAATTCAACCACTGATAATGGGTGGATAATGATTGTCATAGTTATGTATCCCCTGATGATAGAACACCAAGAATTTCTGGCTCCAAAATTGATGATTGGTATGAGCAATTATTAGAGAATACACGAGGGTGGTTTAGGGGTTAGTGAGGTTGGAATTCACGCGCTCGGTTTGCGTCGATCATCCTGCGTACTGATCAATTTTAGCAAGATGTGAGTGAAACTTGTATACATATTAGAGCATTTGGGAATGATTGGAATATTAGTTACTACCTAGTTCATAAATACTATTGATATTATGGCATTAGAGAATGTCCATATGTATGTGATACTAAAAATTTTTCTATTTCTTGAATAACTTAATGCGGTTGGAATTATTCATCATTAAATCTTTTCTTTTTAAGCTTTCCGATTAAAACAATGCAGCCTCTATTTAAATTTGAAATGAAGAAGTAAGCGATAATTAAGATCAAAAGAAAAATAAATAGAAAGAAAATTAAACTTGGAAATGAAAATTTATCAAGTTATAATAATGATTTCAGTGGAAGGAGTAAATATTGAAGTTTTTTTTTTAAATTTCAGTGCCTCGTCAGCGTTTCCCAAATTTCCAATTTAAACTTTTGATCATGGCGCCCGGAGGAGCTTCATCGCCGTACAAGTTTCCACACATGCATCCTCATGACTTGCAGTAGTCAGACTCTACAGCACAGCCAACCCATTTCCAGCCTTTGTATTTAAAGGTAAGACACCCTTTCAACGTATGATGTACATGCATTCTGACATAGCATTAGTTACTTATTGGCTTCTAAGTATTTCTGAAGGATACAAAAGTACGTTCAACATACTAATTTCTCTTATTTTAATTTGGTCTATGGATATTTTTTTTTCTTTAGTAATAATTTTTAAATTTCTCTGCATTATGATTTGTGATTATTGATTGGCGAATTTAAATAACTCTCAAATCTTTCTATTCAACATAAATAATTCACTTTCATAGAAATAATTAAAATAAAAGAAAATGAAACGACAGAAGAGAAAATTAATTTTGATTTTTGTTTTTAAAGTATTAAAATAAGAAAGAAGAATTAGTGAAGAATGTCGACTTTTAGTCTAGAAATTTGTTGTAGATTATATCTATATGGTCTATTACCATGCAACTCGGTTTAGTAGTATAGTAACCTAACCTTCAATGTGCTATATACTTTATCCTTTTCACGATAGAACACATCTATATTCTCCATACCAATACATAGGTGTATATAACGCGAAGCGTCCCTATTATAAGTTGCAAACAAACTTTACTTATTTGCTCGCGACTACTCCTCGCATGCGCTCATTCCCACCCCTTCTCAATCTCTTTTCCATCCCCTTTTCTATCTTTCTCATCATTTCACTTGCTCTCTCTATCCTTATCACCCCATGAGTCCCGACCTCCAGTTTCCTCGTTATACTTATGCCATCATTAATATATCATTATTAGTGTCTTATCTTGCATCCCCTTGACCCTTTAAAAATACATAAACGTCATATTATTGTAACATTGTTTCTTTACTTATTGACAATTTTCAAGAGTAGTTCTATTTTGAGATTTTAAATGTTGCAATCATTGATTTTGTGCAGACTAAGATTTCAAGTTTTTATTATTATTCAAATATTAAGGTCAATTTTGATTTGAAAAATGTGAATTAAATCGTGATAAATAAATATATAATGAATTTTTAATGGTTTAAAAGTGTATCTATTGAAAAATTTACTAGAAAAAATTAAGAAAAAATACTTATCACAAGAACTTTTTAAGATTTCTTCCTTCTCGATAGAATTAAGTAAAATATAAGGGTAGTTTGTCGTTTCTCATTTGAGTTTCTTCAACCCTCATTACGATGGCGCCACATAAAGTTTCTTTAATGTCAACAAAAAATCTCGAGAGAAGTTTAACGAATCTTACGTATGGGGGCACTATGATCGCTCTTTGAGTCGAGGGTAGTTTGCTCAGGGGTGATCTACCTTTTTTTGTGTACAAACAGAGTCAAGTACCCACCCCATGAACTTTAGGGTCACAAAATGACTGCCATGCTTTTTTTATTTTCTTCACCCTTGACTTTGATGGACTGAAATTGATGAGAGTTGAAAAAAAGAATTTTTTTTTAAACTGAGAATATATTTATTTAACGTAGCGATAAAAATCATTTTAAATTAAGCTTTAATGTAATATTAGATATTTTAGTAATTTCTGACTCCCTTAAACAAGTTATTAAGAGTCAGAATTAAAATAGAGATAAGATGTGATGATCTCCAAAATATTCTGCTCTCGGGCACGAAACAGAAGTGAAGAAATGGAAAGCTAAATTAGCTAGTAATACCCTTCATCCCTTGTTTATTCTTTTTCAAAAAATGTATAACTCATCCCCTGGTTAAAATTTTTATTTCTTAGCGAGTGGATCAAGAAGAGATCTGACATCCCCTTACGGAAAATTTCGACCCGACGTTAAGATTAATTATGCCCGAACAGGGACTAGCACTCGCTGATTACTTTGCGAATTTTCTTGCGACCCCGTATAGAAGTCGGTCTCACTCTACGAAGGGTGGTACGGATTTTAATTCGTCACTCCTCCCTTCTTTTAACTCGCTCTCTCGCGGCCACTGAGATGCAGTTGAGAAAAGGGTTTCCAAGTAAGAGATAACGAGTCTGTTCGTTGTTGTCTTTCGTTTTCTCTCACTACTCTGTTTGTTAAAACTCGTTATGACTATCAAACCTACTAAAGTAACATTACATCGTAATTTCAATTCTAACTACAGATTGTATTTCATTACAGGACAATCAACATATCAGAATATTTTCTTATTAAGATATGGACTTTTTTTTTTTAATTTTTATCATTCATTGAGGGAAACAATTTATTTTCAAAACTCTAATAAATATGAATGTAGATAGGAGATTACTTCAAGTTCCATATTTTCAGTTGTGATAAGGAAATAGTTTGATTTTTTCCAATTTATTTTCATAATTACTTTTCATGATAACAATCCATACTTGTAGAAAAATAATTGATAGAATATTCAACACACACGTGTCATATTTTCGAGTAGCAATGAGTTTTATGTTATATGGCAAATTAAAGACTAATCGGAGGTGTGGAAAAAATGATCCTGGTCATTTCCTGTAGGAAAATGAACTTTGAGTAACAATAACTCAGGGTTAATGAAGTTTTAGAGCCATTTTCATTCCAAGTTTACCCACAAAATAACGCTAATTTTCGCTTTAAAAATTCCTCAGCATAATTTAATTAATAATTTACAATATACGATTGTTAATTACATGCATTGTATTCTGATTATATGAATATAAATATTGATGACTTTGAAGTGGAAAAGAATGGAAAGAATATATTGCATACAACCTCGAACTCAATGATGAGATTAAAAAAGAGCAATAGTATAAAGTCAGCGTAAAGCCGAAATGAAGAAAAAAAAACTGAGAACAAGAGATAGAAATAGAAGGACGGAAAAGTGGTAGGATGACCGTCTCACGGGGGTTGGAAAAAGGGAGGAAAATAAATTGAAAGCAAAATTGTACTCGCACAAGAAAATGGAATTATTCCTCGTCGCTGTTCTACCAAGATACGAAGAAAAAGAGGGAGACGCTAGAAGAAGCAGAAGAAGAAGAATAAGAAGCGGGATGAAAAGAGGTGGAATGAGGTGATGGGGATGTAGAAAAGAGGAACGGAGGTAAGGCTGTCCGAGATGGATTCGGGTTCCATTGTACTCGCGGGAAGGAACGGAAGAGGGATGGTAGCTTTAAGGGGGTGAAGAAAAGAGAGGAAAGAGAAATGTAGGTGGTGGTGTTCAGGGGGTGGTTAGTAGTCAGGCGATGGGGTGGCACGAGAAAGAAGGCGGACTCTCGTCGTCGGGGCAAAAGGAAGGTAGCGAGTTTCGAGATATTTTCTTCCGGCTACGGAGAATTAAAAAAGAAATAAAAAAAAATGGAAAAAAAAACTTTTCACTACCCCAAGAACGGTCGGTGCGATTACCAAGAGGGAGAAAACCTCCCTCTTACCTTTTTCTCGCTTTTCTCCTTGAACGGACGAACGAACGCTTTATATTCTAAAAGTTTCACGTTCAAAATTTCTCCTATCGCACGATTCAACTTTTTCTTTTTAACTCATCTATAATGTATACATATACTTTTTTAAATTAAATAAAAGTCATATTACTTCAAATGTTTATTCCACTAATAATTTTTTTGTCAATTGTTTATTCATTCAGTTAAATCAAACAAACACATTTCGCTCGATTGAACATCATTATTTTATTTGAGCAAATGAATACTGTTTGATTCAATAGACTTTATCTTTGACGTAATTAATTGACTTGCACTCGAAAAAAACAATGTTTTATGTTTATAGTTTATTTAATATTATTATAAATAATTTGAAAAATAATTCAATAAAATAGAGATATTTGTTAAATTTAGAATGCTTTTATTCATTTACTTCAACATATACACAAGTCGATAGAAACTCTTCAAGAGTAACGAAGTTCCCATCGATAATGGCAATTAACGGAAAACACGAGTGCGGTAATTATATTCCCACGCGGAAGATAGCTGGTAAAGGAGTAAGAGGAGAAACTCTAAAATCAAGGACTTGAGTTTTCCTAGAATATCTATCATTACATGTATCTACAACGCATAATCAATATATATATATATATAAATAATCTTTCAAATTAATAATAACGAAATTAATAAACATAATAATCAGTGAATAAATTTTTAATAATTTATCCATTATAATTATAATTATTATTTGCCTTGTCTGTTGTTCTTTTGAATAATAAACAATAAAAGCAAATTCAATAGTTAATAAACTTATAACAAGTTCAAAGGTAAAAAAAGAATTTTGAATGAAAAAAAATAATAATAAATATGAGCAACAAAAATTACAATAAAAGGGAATGCAATATGATGCTTGAGACTCAAAATCAGAGAAATGTTTACAATTTAATATTTTCAGTTGAGTAAGAAAGTCCAAGGCATCTAAGAAAGTTACAACAGAATTGCATTCGTCTTTTCTCCCTTGAAATCTCTCTTTGTGGGTAAGTTTCTAAGAGTGAGTGCGCATCCGGGATACATAAATATTTCTGAACTCGACTATCCAAGCGGGACAATATTTCAAATGTGCAATAGTGACGAGAAGCAGCTAATAAACAAAAATAAAAACATTCATTAAGTAATAAAAACTAAACCATTCAGTCTTTTCATTATATCTATTTTTTCACTAAAAAATTCTAATACTTTTAAAATCCAACAGAATCAAATGAGCTAGCATATTAAAGTGCATGGCCAGTTGACTTCTAGAATTACGTTTGATGTTTATTCATCTCATACTCTTATCCAGTTACATACCCTTAACTTACTCTATTTCCAAAAGTAACAATGATTAAAATATTTCCAAAAATTTTTAATGTAATATTAAACATTTCCAACACGTTTCTGCATCATAAGAGCTGTGCGTTGGAAAAGGAGAGTAATAGAAAATAGGAAATAATTCGAAATAAAGTAAGACTAGGGGATGTCAAGACGTTAAGTGAGTGGAAGGGGGTATAAAAAGAGTGCTATCCCTTAAAACATTTGCAGCTTCCATCTTGCCGATATTATTGACGTTTTTTGCCACCCCTATTTTTCCACCCTGTGTCTCCCCCTTGCTCTTTCTATCCCTGAATGCCGGGAAAAGAGGGTTGG